ATAAGTAGGGATTTCTAGGCCATCAAGGGGGGGGGGGCATGGCTCCCGTAGGTCTCCCTCTAGCTCTACCCTTGGTTGATAACATGCTGTTGACTAGGAATGATGATGTAGGTATTCATGAGTTGAAGTCCTTATTTCATGATTCCTTCCGCATGAAGAACCTGTTCCCTATCACCTACTTCTTGGGCTTGGAAGTTCATTGCAGTGATCGGGGATATTTCGTTTGTTAGTAGAAATATGCTTCTAACCTTGTTAAACTTGTTGGCCTCATCAATGAGAAACATATTGATACTCCTATGGAGCTGAATGTTAAGTTATCTAAATCTGAAGGTCCATTGCTTCCTGATGCTACCTTGTATCGCCAGCTTGTGGAGTCTCTTATCTATCTCACTATGACTCGGCCTATTGTTTCAATGTTGTTCAGGTTGTTAGTCAATTTGTTTCCACTCCTTGTCAGCCTCATATAACTGCTATTCATCATATCATATGTTATCTCAAAAGAAATGACTTCTTAGGATCTGTTCTTCCCCTCCTCTCTCATTCAGTTGATATCATATGTTGATGCAGATTGGGCTAGTTGCCCTGACACCTGTAGATCGACTTCTAGATGATATGTCTTTATGGGTGATTCACTCATCTCCTAGAAGTGTAAGAAGCAATAGCCAGTTTCCAAGTCTACCATTGAAGCTGAGAATAGACTATAGAGCTATATCTTTAGTTTGCAGTGAGATTGTTTGGCTAGTGTCTCTTTTTATGGATCTTGGTACTCAACTTCCTATTCCTATTCCTCTTTATGTAAACAATATTAGTGCTATCAAGATTGGCCCCTATTCCTCTCTAATGTAAACAATATGAGTGCTATCAAGATTGAGGGGGGGGGGTATGGAGATTTGAGACTTGATGTATCTTATTAGTATGATCCCTATTGTATATTACACTATACAATACATTCTTTGTATTTATTCGTTTCTCTCTTTCATCCCTGAATGGGAATTCTTGTATTGTACATCTCTTCTCATTACATACAAAGGTAAATTTCTAGGTCAATATCCAAGTGGAATTGTTTTACCAACAAATATTCTTCACAAGAACAATTTCTAATTTGAATAGTAAATAGCAAGATAGAGAACCATTGTTTAGAATATTGTCATGGAAGGAACACAGTAAAAGCATACTTGTTGCCAAGAAGGAAACGACCACTGTTAAGTGTGATTTTATCCCTCAATCCCAATTCCTTGTATCTTTGATCTTTTTCCTGGTTCAAATTAGGAAATTTGGTAAGTCAACTTGTTTCATCCAAGAAGAAGAATCCATAATTTTTTTTTTTATCAATAAAGAAGAATCCATAATTGGAATAAAAAAGACAAACTAAAAGGAAGTCTGACCAGAAAACCTGTTAATGCAAACAATATTGCAAGAAAACATAATCATAAAAATTAATGTTCAATTTCTAGCATCTAAACAAAATCCAAGTTGCATAAAGAAATTTATCAGTGTTGTAATCACTTAGCTGTTCATTTTCCATTAATAAATAAGATGCTTTAGTTTCAGTCACTACTCAAGTGAATATCAATTGGGAGAAAAGTAATGTTTCTAAGGTTGGCAATAGTTGAAAGGAGAGAGATTAGTCTTAACTATACAAGAAGTTGAAAAGTTGCTTCAAGATATGGATTCTGCATTGTGATTTCGTGCTCATGCTAGGGCATTCCCCAAAAGCACCATTCTACATCTTTACTTGAGTAGGGTGAGAAATGGGTAAGGGTATGCTGGAGCATTCCCTGGAAACAATGCTCTACAATGACACCTAGTTGATGAGAAAAAGGCAAGGGTTCTTGCATCTTTTTGGACAAAAGAGAGAGAATAATTCTATGGTTACTTAGAATATAGGAACATTAATAGACAAGACTAGGAATTAATGGATACAATGATATGGTGCAAGGGTTACAGTGCAAATGCAGTGGATTTCACCATAGAGTAACCACTTAAAGTTGAACTTTTATGGATGTAGCATTGGAAATAAGGGATAATTAGGCATAGGAGGTACATACAAAAATGGAGGTAATCATGGCAATATACTTGGGACCAATCAAACATGGAAACACCCTTAGAGCTGAACTGATGGCAATACTATTGCATTTAGGAAAATTCTTGGGGCATAAGAATGTGGTAGTGGAAAGGGATTCAAAAATAGTTGTGGGATGGATAAAAGACAACAACAAGGCCTATGACAATACATACATGTTTTGAGAAAGATACAATAGCTAGCATCAGAATTGGAGTCTAGCTTTATTTGGTTACCAAGGTCGGCCAACAGTTTGGCTAATGCATTAGCCAAGCAAGGGGTTGGGCGGGGAGGGTTGGCCTAATAGTGATGTTATTTTGGGCACAGATGTAATATAAATAGTGATGTTGGGTGGGGAGGCTTGGCCTAATACTTTTATTGGGACACTTGGCACGTAAATGATCTATCTTTTTTAAAGTTATTGATCAGAAAAGAAAATAATGTAGTATGCTTACAAAAAAACTAAATGGAGGGGAGGGGGAAGCTAAAGGAATTTATGGCTATATGCAATGGTGCATAGAAGTAAATGATAGAAATGGAGTGCAAAAATAGTAGACAAGGATCTAAAAAATAAAATTATAGTGTTAACAGAATTGGGAATAGAATAGTTTTAATTAGACTTGTTTTAGGTGAGAAAGTCATCAATCTAGTTGGTGATTATGCACCTCAAGTGGGTTTAGAAGAAAACAATAAAAAACAACTTTGAGAAAACATGGATGGACTAATTCAAAATATTCTAAATGAAGAAAATTATAATGAGAGGAAGTGTAAATGATCATGTTAGGAAAAGAAGTGTAAGGTATAATGAGGTGCATTCAGAATTGAATTTGGGGAAAGGAATAAAACAATAGATACAACTTTAGAAATTGCAACTTGTGATCTAGCAATCATAGAAAGAAAATGGAATTTAGATGAAGAGGCTAATGATATATGGCTTGAAAGGACCAACTGTGCAAAAAGTTAGAAAAGGAGGTTTTAGGTGAATCTGAAGAGAAATGTGAAGGTATTTGAAACTTGGTAGTAGAATGAAAAGGTTCAAAATATAATTAAAACAAAACGGGCATGTTATAAATATTAGCAACACTAAAAATAAAGAAAACTTGAAAAAAATATGAGTACACAAAAAAGGAAGCTAAAATGAAATTGATGAAGCTAAATTTAAGGCATGTGATGATCTTTATCATAAACTAAGCTTCGAAGAGGGAGAAGATGGAAATGTCTAAAATTTGAATTCTTGATGTTAGAATGTTAGAGTGATGTTCGGCTGATAAGAGTTCTTATTAGCCCATTCTTATGTTTAACTTATCTTGTAACTAGGCTTGTGTTAATGGGC